TGAGTGATGTCTATCTCTTTTTCAAAGGTTTCATTAGTGGAGAGTAGCATGTGTATAAAGATGGAATCAGGATTTTATTATTGGAGAGATCAAAAGAAAAATAATTTTTTTTTCACTATATGTACAAAATACACATGTATGTATATATGATATATAAATTATATATACATAAAAAAATAAATAAATACCATATAAGCAATTTCTAATAAGATGAATAAGTTTTTTTTTTATGTAAAATAGAAAAAGAATTCAAGATGGAAGAAGAATGACATATTTTTTTTATATTAGGGGCCATTTTATATATATAATGATATATATATATATAGTTTTCAAAGTTCTATGACAAATAATAATATTTACAGAAACAAAAGGTCATGACCTTTCATAATCTTTTCCTAATTCTGTCCCTACATGTATACATTATGCCCCTGCACCAGTGACTAATTTATCAAAAATGGATTTATCATATATATTGTGATTGATTTAAATTAGTAGACCTCTTATAATAAAAAAAAATATTTAAATTTTATTTCAAATTATGGGCTTTCCTATTTTGAACTAATAAAAATTTATGTTTTATTTACAGTTGTGAACAAAATGGAGCTTTACAAAGTAGCTTAAAATCCAAAGTGATAACATCTTTTAACAGCCTCAAGTTGCAGATATCTTTTTCTTGGCGTCACAAAACATTAGTGTGGTTTGGCAAACTTGGTTTTTTTTACTCTTTTGATTTTTTTAACTTGGAACTTTTTTGTTCGTTTGATTTTCTTGTTTGACTTTTTTGCATTGGAATGACAAAATTGCCCTCCACTTGAAATGATACTTTTTTGACTTTTTGTTTGTATATAGGTTAATTTGATAATTTTACATCAAAAGTTAAGTGTTTTGTCATTTTGTGACTTTTTTTTTTTGTCCTTATATGTTTATTTAATCCCAACTCAAAAACCAAACCAAGGCTAAGAAGGAAAAAAATGAACAGTATCAAATGAAAAAAGGAATAAATAAATGAAAAATGTTTGGGGGCCCTAATTCTGTGGCTCAAATGGCCAAAACGACGTCGTTTTGGCCATTTTGATGTTGTTTTGTACTCAAAACGACGTCGTTTTGGCTATTTGAGCCACATTTGAGCCACAGAATTTGGGCCCTCTACCATTGCTCTAAATAAATACATAAAAAGGAATAAATAAATAAATAAAATGGCCCACTTGGGGTCCCTTATCTTCTGCCAATTTTTTTTTCGGTAAATAGCAGCCTCAAATCAAATCTTGTAGAAAAGCAAGCAATAGGCTAACCAAACAAAGAGAATATTCAAATGAAGGAAAATTTTAATATATACATATTTGAAAAGGAATATTATATATATTTTTAATTATGTTATTTTTTTAACTATGATTAATTTTTTTAATTACAATATTATTTTAGTTATAATTTATAAAAATTTTAATTAAAAACTTGTTTGGTAGCTGTTTTGATTTTTAAAATTATAAATAATTTATAAAATTTATTAATTTATTGTAACTAAAAGAAAATTTTACTTGTTTAGATTATTAAATTTCATTTAGTTTTCCTTCTCACACCCTCTTCAACGAGTACCCATCACCACCAACGGCTAGGGCTGGGCAAGAAATTTGTATAATTTATAATTTGATAGCTCCTCTGAGCTAACTCCTCCGGACGGTGTTCCTCTCATGATCACTCATGCTCTCAAGCTCCTCTGAGCTAACTCATGCTCCTCTGAGCTGACTCACAGTGGGTCGTCGCATCGCGACTTCCTCCTCCACTCGAGTTGTCGACGCCCTCGTCGACTCAATGCAAACCAATAGTTGCTCCTCAAAATTATAGCTCAAAGCCCTCCGGCAAGCTCAAAGCCCTCTGGCTGATATCTTCAATACACTGAAGTATCTCTATATTGTGCCCTCTGGCGAAATGAAAGCCCTCTGGCTGCTGCTCATAAGCAAGCTCATGCCTCTGAAGCCTTCTGGCTGATGCCCTCTAGCAAACTCAATCTCTGAAGCCCTCTTGGCTATTGCTCTCTAGCAAACTTTAAAACCCTTTAGCTGAAGCCCTCTGGCAAATTGTAGCCCTCTGGCCAATGCATTCTTTGCAAACTCAAATTTTCTCACAATTAACTTATCATGGACCGAAATGAGGTACAAAAATATATTTAAGAATGCAAATTCTTATTATTTTAAATTTTTTAATATAATATTTAATATTTTTCAAATTTTTGAGGATGTAATTGCCACGCTTGCATCCCTTAGATCCATCGTCATTTTATTTTTTCCTTTCACAATCATCAAATTAATTATAAAAAAAGTTAATTATCATTTCAAAAATAACTTTTTTAATTAAATTAAAATAGTTAAAAAATCAACTAAAATAGTCAAGTTTCCAAACGAACCCTATATCAAACTTCAAATTAAGTATAAATTACTCAAAATGCCTCTCTTTCATATTTTTGTTGGATTAAGTTTGATGAGATTATTAACACTATAAAATTAGGTGAATGAATTACTAATATAAATATTAAATTGGAGATACAAGATAAATTTTATATGTTTGCATACTAATGTAGATGCATTATTAAACATATGAAATTATGTAAAAGTCATATTATTTAAAATATAACTTTGTTATTTTTATATCATACAGGGCATAATTGTCTTTTTCCTTCCATTTCTCAAATTCCATGGCATAAGAATAGGATTGCCACCTCTAATGGAATTGCCAATGCATTCATTGGCCTCGTTTGGAATGTTGGCTATTTTAGTATGTTATTTTAATTTTTGATTATTTTAGTAAGTTAAAATTTTTATATTTGAAAAGATAGTTAGATTTTTTTTTTATAATTAGATGTGATATTTGTGAAAGAAAAAATGAAATGATTATGAATTCAATATAACATTTTATCTTATTGACATGCTCACATTCCCTAGATCCATCATCATTTCATTTTTTTTCTTTCACAACCATCAAATTAATTACAAAAAAAAAAAGAAGTTAATTATCATTTCAAACATAACTTTTTTAGTCAAATTAAAACAGTCAAAAAGTTAACTAAAACAGTCAAGTTCTCAAACGAGCCCTATATCAAACTTCAAATTAAGTAAAAATTAATCAAAATAACTCTCATTCCTATTTGTTTGTCGGATTAAGTTTGATGAGATTATTAGTGCAATGGAATTGGGTGAATAAATTACTAGTATAAATATTAGGTTATAGATAGAATATAAATTTTAAGTGTTTGCATACTAATGTAGACGTATTAGTTAGTTAGGATTGAACATATGACCAAGTCAAACCAAGCCTTAAGTTCTATCAAATGGGGTCGGTTACATGAATTCTTCTTCTCCACACAGCCCTATCAAAGGCCATTTCGTTAGTCAAATTAAGTAAATTCATGTCTTTATTTACAACGCTAACCAACGTTAATTTAGGCCTACCCTGTCCCCTAACACTTCCATCTACCGTTACAGCATCGTATCTCTTCACTACTACATCTGTTGATCTCTGTTGAATATGACTGTGTGGGTGAAAATCTGACCACACTGCCCGTTTAGTGATCAGCTGGAGAGCACAAGCAGAATAGATGGCTTAAGTAACCTGAAACAGAAAGAAAAAGCTCCGGCGGTGGTTCTTCCACCCGGGGGCACTCCGACGATCAAGTCAGTATATCGCTCAAAGATAATCAAGTACTAAACTGAATACTCAAAGTATAAATTGCATACCTTAGACCCACGGGGGTGCCTCTCTTTTATAATATACTCAATCCAAGTCCCACTAGAAGTATGACTTCTATGAACTCTAGTTCACTGCTTACTCTGGACTCTTTTAAGTGATAAAGATAAACTCCTTGAGAGTTTTATCCTTATCTTGATTCAGTCCCCTTTGTGCCTTAGGACTCTTGCCCCTTATCTCGGATTCCGATATCTTCGGAGATGACCTCGGCTTCTCCGAGATTACCTCGGCTTAACTACCAAGGCACGTGGCATCTCGGCTGACACGTCGGCGTCACCATGCCACGTGTTGGTATTCAGAAAATATATCCCCACAATGACCAAACCATCTCAATCGATTTTCTCTCAACTTATCTTCTATCGGTGTTACTCCTACACATTCCCAAATACACTCATTCCTAATTCTGTCATGTCTAGTCTTGCCACACATCCACCTTAGTATTATTATCTCAGCTACACTCATCTTATCTACATGTTGTTTCTTGGTTGCCCAACACTCCGTCTTATACAACATCGCTGGTCTAATAGTCGTTCTATAGAACTTACCTTTAAGTCTAGTGAGTATTCATTTATTGCACAGTACCCCAGACACACTTCTCCACTTACATCATTCCGCCTTAATCCTATGGGCCACATCCGCATCAATCTCCTCCTGTTGTGATAATCGACCCTAAATAACGAAAATGTTCACTCTCCACTACACGATCGATAGGACGTCCAGTGGGACGACCGATTAGTCTAAATTTTTCTGCCTTTGACCGCGTTTTCAAAAGTGAGTGTAGAATTAATTTTTAAAAATCGTAAACAAATACTATGTTAAAATCAAGCTCTGGAACTAACATTCCACAGTTCCACCAAACAGAGCCTAAAAAACATTTACTCAGTTTAAACAAACCTTTTATTCAAATTTATGTTAAATTTGAATTTATTTAAGTGATTCATTATCAAAAAATACTCAAATTTATGCTAAAATTTGAACTTGTTGAAGTGATTATTCAAATAAAGATTTTATTCAAAACTTTTCTTTTGGAATTTACATTTTTATTAAAAAATAGTTGAGATTCCCAAAGTTAGTAACCTCTAAAATGATATAAATCAATCATGTTTTTTAATTTTTAATTTTTTTTCTTTTCTTCTTAGACCAATCATAAATAAATTATATATAAATAAAGAGAATCAATTAATTTTTTATATCGACTTCTTAACTAATTTAACCAATTAGGCACGAAGAAAAATAGATTATTCACCACACACTCAAATACATTAGAAATATATTGTTTGTATTGACTCGAGCTCATAGACCCAGGAAAAGATCCATTACTGAAATGACAATAACTTCGTAGATTAAAAAGTAAAAAGATTTAACAAGAAATGAGCAAAACTCTCTAAAGATCAAGCAACCCTTGGGACGGCTCTAATAGCACACGAAAACCCAAAGGGACTCTCTTTCTCCATACAAATCAAATTCAGCTCACTCACTCCGATCGACACTTTCTCATTAAACAAACAAACAGATTCTCACTCATCAGACAAAACCACTCTCTCAAGAACCATTATATTAATGTTCTCGAGATAAGAGACTATGTAAAAAGTAAATTACTACTAGCTGCAAAACTTATGGGCATGCTATGTTGAGGGGTCCAACTTCATCAATCCAAGCAAGCTCTTCTTTCCCAAACTCGAAATCAAACTCAAACTCAGGAAGATCACTGGGTTGATCGTCCTCAAACCCGCCTATTTGGAGATCATCTAGGCTGCCAAAATCACACAAAAGATTATCCAAATTATCAAAATCATCAGCAAAGAGCGAATCGAGCTCCATTCCAATGTCCAACCCTTCCCCAATTTGAGAAACCAATGGCTCATCATCCACAGCAACAGCATTGGGCATTTTCTGATCATCAACAATAGTGTCCACGCCAAAATCATTCCCATTAGACTTGCCATCGTCATGCGAATCTGAAGCAGAAGCTACAGAGTCCAATTCGAGCACGGCATTGGGCATTTTCTGACCATCAGCAACAATGGTGTGGTCCACACCAAAATCAGTCAATGTTACATTCAATTCGACATCAACGTGCGAATTTGAAGCTGAGGCTGAAGCTAAAGAGTCCAATTGAAGGACAGACAATGGGGATGTGTGAGACAACAAGCTTTCAGAGTCCTCAGCCACCGAAGAAGAGTGGTTTTGATTGTGATTGTAACTCCTCTCCGACGAAGCAGCCATGGATTCGAATTCGAGCTTCTTCAAATCGTAAGCCCTCGCACCTTCTTCAGCGGTGTTGTAAGTGCCCAACCAGACCCTCTTTCCGGTGAAAGGGTCTCGAATCTCGGCAGCCCATTTTCCCCATTTTCGCTGCCGAACCCCTCTGTATTTTGACCCAGATGGCCTCGCCCGATTAGCGTTCAGGGTTTTGGTTAAAACCCTGTTCTTTTTGGGCGGCGCTTTCTCTCCATTGCTGTTACTTTGGCATGAGCTCTCTGTTTCAAGAACTTTTGGCTGATTCACAACTCCAAGAGGAATGTTAATCTCTCGAACAATACGTTTTGGTGCGTATTGATTCTCATTTCTCTCATCGTCTGATGATTCTGTAGCGTATGGATCGGAAAAAATCACTCGAATTTTCTTCATTTTTTGGGTGTTTTCTTCAGAAGAAACAGACTTTTTCTTTGATTTCTTGCAGATATGGTTTTGATTGGAAGGGGGTTGTGATCGAGGGTCTGGCATTTTCACTGATTTCACAGCAAAACCCCTCGAAAATACCCGGAAAATCTTGTTTGGAAGAAAAGAAAAGGAAAAAAAAATAAAAAATCAAGAGAACAAAAAAGGGTATCACTCTCAAAATCAGAGTTGTTTCAAGTAAGAGGCCCTCTCAAGAACAAGAAGAGATAGAAAAATCGTTTTATGTGAAAACCCCCAAAACACTCTACTCCAGAACAAGTCCTGCAACCATAAAACCCCAATAAAACCACAGACCCAGTTCAGATCAGTCTCCAAAATCATCGAAAACACATGAAAACATCAAAAAAATTGATGGGTTTAAGAAACATATGTACCTCTTTGGTCTCAAAGGCATCGAAACAGTTGGGAAACAGAGTTGTCGCATGCAGAGCTTCAATGGAGCTCCAATCACAGCCAAATCAGACCTTGCAGACATAAATCTTCTATCCACTGCTCACTCTTCACAAAACCCTCCTTGTACCCCTTTGGGCTAACCCAGCAAAGAAAGAGAAAAAGAAAACTCGTAAAACCCTTCAAGTACAAAGTGAGAGAAAAAGGATGAGGAATCTATGGCTACGATCTCTCTCCCTCTCTCTCTCTCTCTCTAGAATATGACAAAAATCTGTTAATAGTTTCTATCGATTGTGCAGAGAGAAAATTTTCAACAAAAGACGCAAATCTCTATACAAAAACACATCACATAGAAAGAGAAAAAAAGTAAAAATATCACAAATCATAGGCAACCCATAACAAAAAATTAAATAAATTTGTACCTTGTTTGTTTGTCTCTCTATCTATCTCTCTCCTCTTTTTCTTTTTCTTTTTTTCTCTCTCTCTCTCTAGATTTGCAGTCACTTTCTTTCTGGTACTTGGTCTCTGGTTCACCTTTTTCTAAACAATCCAAAATGCAAATATTGAAAAAATATATATATTGGTGAGAAATTAATGTATTTGGATGCAAATTCCTGAGCCATATCTCATGCCATTTGATATGTCTCTACCACTGCTAGAAGGACTCATTATCTTACTCTTTTCTTAAGAGCGTGTAAAACACTCGCTCATTTGTATACACGTGTCGACCGAACAGGCGACTTGTGGACACGCGCTTGTATAACGCGTGGGGGAGCTTATAGATAGGTGGAGTTACGCCTGAGTCGGCGGCCAGTGTCGAGCCGTATATGTTTTGAAGGATTACAGCTATAGTTTTTTGGTCGATATTGGGTCGACGGTTTTCTCATATTTGCATTAATGCCACTGAAGTCCGTGTTCCCCAAGTTAACCCCCGAAAAATTCTTCAGTTTATATTTCTACCTCTTATGTAAGATCGAAGACTTGACTAAGAAATAATTAATTTATTACTATTATTTTATAATATGGCGAGAAGTTAACCATTTTAGTTGAGTATTTATGTCTAGTTTGATAACATTGTTTTTTAGTTTAAAAGTAAAAAATTTATTAAAATAATAAAAAAATTAATAATCTATACTAAAAAGTTATAGATTTGGTTTTTTCTCTATTTTTTACATATCTTTTCATAAAAATTAAAAAATCATTTCAAACATATTAATTTTTTTACATCATATTTTAGCTAAAAAAATTACTAAAAAAATATGTTCCCAAACGAGGCTTTATTTTTTTTTGACTATTTTTATCTGACTAAAATAGTTAGATTCGAAAAGTTGGTTGACTTTTTTTTTAACTGATTCGATGATGGTGAGAAAAAAAAATGATTAAGAATTTGGTGTGATATTTTGTCTTATTGATTATTTTAATCTATTTAACCCTACCCTTTTCCCAAACAATTATGCATTTTGGTTTAAGGTTTTTAAAAATAGTTATTTATTTTTCATAATTTATTTTTTTTAAATTTAAATGTTTTTTAAAAATAAAAAAATATATATGAATAAAATCTTTTAAAAATTAATAAATACAAATATACACTTGTTATTTTTATGCCGACCAATTCTTCTTTTGTCCAAGACTTGAGTTCTTTTTTATACCAACAAATTCTCGTTGTATACAAACAAGGAGACCTTAGGTCTTGGACCATGAAGAAAGTGAAAATTGAAAAAAGTAAAATAAAAAAATAGGTAACACCTTTGATGAGGGTTGAAAACAATATAATTAACTTTATAAATTTAACATAATTATGCTAATTTTTCTTTTCAAAAAGTCAAATCAAGGGGTTGTTTAAGGTATCCTAAATAAGTGTACCTTTTGTCTTTTTTGACTAAAAACTTGAGAAAAAAAATATGGATGTTTAGGATAACTTTTTTATTTTTTATGAAAAAATATGTATTAAAAAATTGTGTAAACAAATGTACAGGAGAAGTTAGTGATGGAATAGGCTGTACGGTCAGCAGCATAAGGGGGCAACGTGGCAGAGTGTAGGGGAGGACTTGATTCTCTCCTTCTCGGCCATAAATTGGACGGTGTTGTTCGGCTCATGGGGGCCACCACCGGTCCTGTTTTGCTAATTAGAACCGTTCAATATGTAGAACTTGTCGAGTACTATATGTTTGTAAAAAATCACGTTGATTGGATATCGATAGTTATCTGATTGGCTTAGTTTTTTTTCAACTGTTAACTATAACACCATCTTTTTTTATACAAAACTGATTTAATCGTATAGTTAGCGATATCTGATCAACGTAATTTTTTATCGACATATAGTACTCAACGAATTCTACACATTCAACGGTTCGAATTATCAAAACGGGACCCATAATGACCCCCACAGGCCAAACAACATAGTCTTTAAGCTTGCGTCCACCTGTGTAATTTATCCTCACTAAAGTCAAGCACAACCGTCTTCCGTCAGAGTGAGTTGTCTCACAATTTGCATGAAAATAATTTTTTTATATTTTTTTGATAAATTGTGATAATTTTTTAATATTTTTAATAATATTTTGACTTTTTAATTTTTTTTTTGTAAGTTACCAAACCAGCCCTAATACAAATGATAGATAAACCGATCACAAATAACGAGTTTTACCCCTTCACTTGAAAAAAAAGGTTGCTGACCGCAGGCTCATGTTAAAAAAGCACAACATACTATCACTTAACAATGTGCTCAAAATGTTGAGATCTATATTATTTATCATTTCTCACACATAATTAAAAACTAATTGCATTGATTTTCTATATTTAAAGAAAAAAAAAAACTTATTCAAATTTTTTTAAAAGTTCAATTAAGAAAAAATTAATAATATAAGTATATACATATTTTTAATTTTAATTGCTATATTTTATTTTTGCATAAATATTAATATAAAGTATATACATTTATAATATAATTATAACATCACAATTCAATTTCAACTAACTCGACAGTTGAACCAATGACTATTAACTCGGTCGTTTTTTTCAATTCACTCAACTGTAACGTCCCGAAATAAAAGTAACAATCCATCCACAATATTAATTTTTAAGATGACATAAGATAAAATGATTAACTTCCATTAATTCTAATCTCTTGTACAAAAGAGCAACACATACAGATATACATTCATAAGTCTAACCCTGAATCTATAGCATGTGTTACATAGTAAAGAAACAAAATGGATGATAAACAATTAAGAGAATGCTCTAAAGGCTTACAACTTTTCAAGTTAGTACTTGGTTACAATAAAATGAATTTAAGTCCCAATATATATAAAAGCCATTGGCTTGAACAAAACAATTACACAACTAAACAAAATGAAACTTTTGCTCCAAGTCCTCCTAAGCTATTGCCTTGGCGGAGACATATCATCAGTACTTGAAATGTTTTTCCCACATAGGGTGAGTCAAAACCCAGTAAAAATAATCTAACACAATATATGAATCTTAATAAGGATATAAGGGTGAAATGCATATGCAGTGCCCATGTCAAAACATTTTACATTTCTTTCCCAAATCATGTCATGCTCAGTTATATCACTATTCTCAAGTCATGCCTTTTACAAATAGAAGACAATGGGGAATTCTTAAACCGGTACAACCTTTCACGAATATTTCGTCCGCAGAAAACCATTAAACGACACCCATGTAAACGTAGCCTCTACAAGCGCTAATATTGCCATTTTACGGATATTTCATTCACAGGAATCGACACCCATGTATACGCGTATTTTTTATGACTTGGTGATACACATTTCTTTTCAACATTCACCCATTTTCTCAAATTCATATACACATGCAATGTATTAAATCAGAACAATGTTCAATATACAAAGATGAGAAATTACATTTAATTTACTTAATCCTCATGTAATTTTTACAATAATCATAGCTATCCTCCACTAATAGCCCAAAACAAATATTTCTAAATAAATGCATAAAATCTCCAATATAGATAAACTTTTCAAAATTTAAGATGTGAGCGATAATACATATCCACCTCCATTATCCATACCAATCTCCATTTAATCAAGGTTGTCAAGATCGCAATCCAGATCGTAGGATCGTATGATCCTACGACCCAATATACACCATTCGATCCAACTTGCACATCGGATCGACCCCAGATCAAGATCGTGGTGGGATCGTTTTGGGATCGTCAGGATCGTTAGGATCGCGTCTGGATCGCGACTCTATGCGATCCAGATTTGAAGGATTTTTTAGGCAACTTAAAAGCAAAATCGGGAGCTAAAATGAGAGAAGCAGAGAAGCAAAGCAATAGAGAAGCTTCACCTACTGCGATTAGGGCAAACGAAGAAGCCTGACCTGGGGAAAGAGAGATTCAACATCAAACGAAGAAGCCTGACCTGCTGCTGCGACTCCAGGTACGCTGCTTCCTCTTCTTCTTCTTCTTCTTCTTCTTCTTCTTCTCCCTCTCTCTTCTTCGCTGCTGCTGCTGCAACACCAGGTCTGCTGCTCTTTTTTTTTTTTCTACGAAGACTGTTCTTCTTTCTTTGCTGCTCAGCAGCTCTTCTTTCTTCATTGATCTTTTCTTCTTTCTTCACTGAATCACCTCTTCGGTGATTATTTTTTTTTGCTCTTATTTATTTATTTATTTTTGTTTCTGTAAATTATATTATATATACATATATATTTCTGTATGTTTCTCTTATATATAAATTATATTATATATATATATATATTTTATTTGTAAGACTGTAAATAACCTTTTGCTTGGGGCAATTGAGATTAATTGCTAAATGAGGTAGCATCTGTCATTCTGTTTAACAAGAAATGGTAATGCAATGTATGAGACATAAAAGGTAGTCTTCCATATGCCGACATGCTTGGCTAAGTAAAAACTGTCTCAAGAAACATTCATTTGAGTAAGCATTCAAAATATACATTTTTTTGGCTCTGATTCTCTTATTTTTGCTCTGTTTCTCTTTTTTCTTTTCTTTTTTTCTTCTTCAATTTTCCTTCTTTTTCTTTGTTGCATGTAATGCTATAAATTATAATGCTACTGTTGTTTTCAATTAGCTCCTGGGAATGGAAATTAAATCATTGTAAGATTGATTTTACTTAATCTTGTTAAACACCATTGGTTCTTTGATTGGAAAGGCAAAATAGGATTGCTTATCAAAAAAACATGAACTATCTTGTGCCTTTTTACAATTTGCCAAATGATGGTTTGTTTAAAGCCTTTTTACAATTTGCAATTTCTACATGGGCTTTGAATTTCTTTTAATATTTACAATTTGCAATTGCAAGAATGTCAGCCTCTGGTTCAGGAAGAGTGAGGAAGAGGAAAAATGTTGCTGGTCACAGATCTGATCCTGGTTGGAAACACAGCATTGAAGTGGATGTTGCAAGCAAAAAGGTAAAATGCAAATATTGTAAAATGTTACTCGTTCTGGAGGAATATATAGATTAAAACACCATTTGGCATGCACTCATCAAAATGTTGAACCATGTCCCCAAGTTCCGGAAGATGTTAGGGAAAAATTTATGAGTCTTTTGAGAACTCAAACATTGGAGTCTCAAAATAAGAAAAAGAGAATGCTTGATATTGGTGATGATGATTCTGATGAAGAAATGGAATTATTGCATGCCGGTGGCCATGAAAATAAACAAAAACATTATGGGCGTATGGATAAATTTGTGGTGAATAAGTCTCGGCACCAAAATAAAAAACTATCAATCAATTATTTAAGAAAGAAGAGAGAGATGACGTTTGTCAAACAATTGCTCGATTTTTTTACACTACTGCAATTCCTTTTAATTGTGTCAACAACCCTATATTTTCACTTATGGTTAAGAAAATTGGAGATTATGGAAAAGGCCTTGTGCCACCATTTTACCATGAAATTAGGATGACGTTTTTAAAAAAGAAGTGCAAGAGACATTGCAATTACTTGATGAGTTCAAGAAACAATGAAAGAAGACCGGGTGTACAATTATGTCCGATGGATGGTCGGATAGAAAGAGAAGATCAATTTGTAATTTTCTTGTCAATAGACCTAATGGAACTATCTTTCTATCGTCATTAGATACATCCGACATTTCAAAAGCCGGTGAAAAGGTTTTTGAGATGTTAGATGAGATTGTTGAGAAGGTTGGAATTGAGCATGTTGTGCAAGTGGTGACCGACAATGCTTCTAATTATAAGTTGGTGGGAGAAATGTTAATGGATAAGAGGAAGAGCTTGTTTTGGACACTTTATGCCGCTCATTGCATAGATTTGATGTTAGAGGAGGATAGAAAGAGAAGATCAATTTGTAATTTTCTTGTCAATAGACCTAATGGAACTATCTTTCTATCGTCATTAGATACATCCGACATTTCAAAAGCCGGTGAAAAGGTTTTTGAGATGTTAGATGAGATTGTTGAGAAGGTTGGAATTGAGCATGTTGTGCAAGTGGTGACCGACAATGCTTCTAATTATAAGTTGGCGGGAGAAATGTTAATGGATAAGAGGAAGAGCTTGTTTTGGACACTTTGTGCCGCTCATTGCATAGATTTGATGTTAGAGGATTTTGATAAGCAAATCCAACTTCATCGAGTTACAATTAAAAAAGGGAAAGGATTGTGGCATACATTTATTCAAGAACAAATCTTATTCATTGGATGAAAGAGTTCACAAAAGGTATTGAACTTATTAGGCCCGCGGTAACACGATTTGCCACATCTTACTTGACCTTGAGGCGCCTTCATGAGTAAAAGGGTGCATTGTTCTCTTTGTTTACATCATCCAAGTGGAGGAATAGTCGATTTGCAAGGTCTGAAAAGGGTAAAAAAATTAAAGATATTGTTTTAGATAATCGTATTTTTTGGAAGGGTGTTTCTATGTGCTTGAAGGCTGCGGTACCTCTCATTAAAGTACTTAGATTGGTGGATTCGGATGAGCATCTGGCGATGGGATTCATTTACGAGGCAATGGATCGTGCGAAAGTGGAAATTCAAAGCAATTTCAATAATGTTTTCACATAGTAAACTTTTATTCAGTTAAACTTATTTACTTGACTATTATATTTCTCTAAACTTTTTATTTGTTCATTAATACTCTTTATTTAATGGTGTTAGCTATGATCCTATATGGACCATCATTGATAGAAGATGGGAATCCCAACTCCATCACCCATTGCATGCTGCAGCGTACTTCTTGAACCCTTAATTTCATTACAGTCCCAACTTTTAGCCCGATGCGAAGGTTTAAATTGGGCTGTACAAATGTCTTGAAAGAATGGTTCCTGATGTTAATAAGAGGGTGAAGATTGATTGCAAATTGATGTATTCAAGAGTGCAAGAAGGCTCTTTGGCATACAAAATGCAATCATGACTAGAAAAAAGAAATCTCTAGGTGTTTTTTTATTTTTACTATAAGTTGATTTGTATCATTTTTAATATCTTATTATTTGTTTTCATTTCATCAATTTTAAATTTATAACTAAACTTTCATTTAGTTGATTGATGGGACTCTTTTGGTGATGAATGCCCTGAGTTGAAGAGGTTTGCAATTAGGATATTAAGTTTAACATGCAATTCATCGGGGTGTGAGCGAAATTGGAGTGCTTTTAAGATGGTATATTCAAAACGGAGGAATCGTTTGCACCAAAAGAGAATGAATGACTTGGTGTTTGTCATGTACAATTTGAAATTGAGACAACGACACATGAATAGACAAGCAATCGTGAATCCATTATGTTTAGATGATATCCCGTGAGATGATGAATGGATAACAGAGAGAGAGACTTTGACTCTTCCAAGAGAAAGAAATTGGTTGGGTGTGCTTGATAGGAATGCTCGACATGGATGTGATTCGGATGAAGACGAAGTGGAGGCCCTTGCAAGGAATTTGGAAGAAGCTTGTAAGTTTATGTACACATCTTTTAGTTTTAATTAGAAATTAGAACTTTAATTTTACTTTTAATTTTTTTGTTTACTTCAACTTAGGTTGTGATCATATTGGTAGAGAACATGATGAAGTTCATGAAGTAAGTGATAATGATGCTATGGATCAAAACATGGATGCTCGAAGGGATTTTGATCATGACTTTGAAGATGCTACTATTAGTGAAGACATTGAGGACTTGGACGGCACCGGGGGTGGTGATGATGATGATGATGATGATGTGGCAATGATTAATGTTGATTGTGCAATAATGATGATAATTTCGGCGACAATGATGACTTATTGTAGTTTTTATTTGTTCTTCCTTGATTTAGTTTGTTTTGTTTTCATTAAGAAACAATGACAATGGTGTGCAAGTGTTGGTATTTGGTTTTATTATGTTTTTGACATCTTTTTTTGAAAAAAAATGTTTGAATGCTGCATTAAATTGTTATATTTCTTTTTTTGGGGCTTATTCTATATATATTTTGATAGTATTATTTAGTCATATAAAAATTATTGCATTTTTTTTTATCATTTTAGTAGGATCTTATGATCCTCGATCCGATCCGACAGACCCCTAAAACGATCCTATGTTAGATACCGATCTTAATAACCTTGCATCTAATTTCACATTTTCAACCTCAATTCTATTTGTTTATATAAAATAAATATTTGAGACACTTAGGGAAAAACCCATTTTTCTTCCAAAATCCAACCTAAGTACCAAATCAATAATTTTATCACAACTTAACGTCATTTCCAATCCCACAACCATTTTTCATACAACCATTTGAAAACCCCTCTTTTAATTTTATACCAAAACCCTAGGTTTGTTCAAAATTCTCCAAAAATCATAATATTGTTTTATAAAAATAAATAGCTAAGTTAAAAATTATAAAAGAGTGTAGAGAATATCCACCTCAAACTTAGAAGAGAGAGAAGGAAGAAAAGCCCAAAAGTTGACAAAGATGAAATAAAGATTTGCTCTGATCAAAACGAAACACTTGACAAGCTCTACACTTAATCACAAAGGAGCAAGGTGAGGAGATGCTTCCAAGTGAGTAGATCTGAAGATCTTTGTGCAAAAAAGTGATTTTAGAGAGAAAGAGAGTGTCTCACGGTTTAGAGAGGGAAAAAAGAAGATAAAGTGAAGAAAATGTTAAGTGAATGACCTATTTATAGTGCTAGATTAAAGTGAAATAAAGTCTCAAAGTCAACCCAAAATGACAAGTCAAAATCCCCAAGAAATAGGGCCCAAAACCGACTAAAAAACTAGAAAAGAACTCACAGGAGTCGACCCTTCCCATACTAATATCAACCCTTCAGGAAGAAATGAAGAAAAACAATGCTGGCAGCAACCAAGGTGTCAACCCTTGGACCCAAGGTGTCGACACTAAATTTTAACAACCAAAATCCAGATTTAGTAATAGACAAAGGTCGACCCTTCCCAAACTAGTGTCGACCCTTGAGGCTAACAACAAGAGACAAGTGTCTACAATAAATTTCAGTAGCTATTGCAAGAACACAGCAGCAAGATGGTGTCGACCCTTCCAACACTGGTGTCGACCTTTGGAGCTTAACAAAACAAAGAAAAGAGCACAGTGTTAACCCCAACAAGGGAGGTGTCGACCCCCGAAGTCAAAACCAAATATGAAGAGAAAAGAACGACCATCACGAATACGGTTTCTCGGATTCAAAAGCAATAAATGGATCGGGTCTAAGCCCAGATCGCTATACAACAATCTAGGGTTCAAAATATTGGTATAGAAATAGTGTATTTAAAAAAGGGAGCTACAAATCCTACTCTACTTTGCTCTAAATACACTCATTTTTTTTTTATCCTTATTATAGATAGTTACATTAATACTTTTTAATAAAGGCAATTGACGTATATGTGCAAAAGTAGAAAATGTATTAATGTAACTATTCATAATAAGGATAAAGAAGGGGAGTGTGTCTGGGTTTGGGGTGGCTGCTGCACATGGTGCGCACCAGCTATTGTTGCGCGGCCAATGGGGCTTTTTTAGGGTCTCATTTCAACAATTCAAACCGTTCACTTTTTACAAGACATCAAGTAGAATATATCTGAAAAAATTCAAGTTAATCAAATATTAATCCGTTTCATCAACAAATATTTATATTGAATGGTAAATTTAATTTTTAGTTTAAATCTAAATACAAACATAGCTTGATGAAAGGGATACCGATATGTAATTAACTTGAATTTTTGTAAGCACATTTTATGCGATGAAAAAGATTCCATTGGCCGCGCAACAGTGGTTGCTGCGCATGATCCTCCCAGTGTATGTAAAGTAAAATGGAATGAGAATAACTGCTCTCTTAAAAAAATATATAGTCAAAATAGACGAGTTAACTTTTGGGAAAAAATTTGGTGAAAAATCTATTTTTTTTAGTGTGTGGCATTAATAAGTCCAAAGATTGTTTTATTTTGGTGATAAAAGCATGATTAATTAAATTGTTTGGTGAGAATAAAAAATTATTTTAAAAAAAAAAAAACTTTGTATTCTTAGCTGCTATTGCTAGATTGCTGTCCAACCATCACCATCTAGTTATTGGGAAATTTGTTGTTGCCAAAAAAGTTGCAAAAAAAGTTATTGACGTCGAAAAAGTTGCTAGACAATTCACTAGAGTTGGCCAATGGTGGTGGTAGTAGTGGTGTGTTGATATGGATAGATAGGCTGATTAGATTGATAAATAAGAGATATGTGAATAAATAGAAGAATGACATGTAGACAGACGAGTGAACAAATATATGATACACGAACAAATAGGTGGACAAATAGGTGATGTAGACAATAGGTAGAGGTAATATAGTCTTTCAAATTGTTACTGTTCTTTTTTACTCCAAAAGAATTGAACTTGAAACTATTGCTCCAAAATTTTTAAAATTAAACTTATACCCTAAGTGCTCTAACTTTTTAACTAAAATATAATAAAAATTTAACTAGTTGATGAAGATACTCTAAAAGACCTTTTAGTATATTGTATTTATCATTTAATGGACACACATTAGTTGAATAAAAATGACCATTGTAAATATTTCTCAAAAATGATATGGTGGATTGAAATCGTGAATATTTGAAAGTGTGTAATTATTTTACTATTTTGAATTATTAATATTAAGAATTGAAGTGATGATGGGTCTAGCTCATGAACATTGAAGCCCGACCAATTCAAATGTTGAAAATATAAATGGACCTTGTTCTAAGGCCCAAGTTTGTTGAGTTGGTATCTTCTAATATAGGAAGGTTTAGTTATGCATGCTGAGATAGTTGAAGGTGGGCCAAGGGTGCACAAATGAAAGGCAAGAAAAAACAAGCCTACGTGATGCCGCCAAATGGGAATGTATTAGGCGGTGCTCTTGCAGCAAAATAATGAATGATATTACATTTTAATGGAACAATGGGGAAATATTTTTATGATAGTACTGTACAGGTGTCTTGTGGGTATAGTACAAGTCGATTTTCGTGCGTGGTTGGTGTAAGTCTTTATTGTGTGTAGAGTCAGGGATGAAACTAGGAGAAGATTATGAAGAGTTATGGTCTCTCTGTTTCTGTGAAAAATATTTTTTGTCATAACATTTTAAAAATATATATATCATTTTATACATAAAATGGCCCCCTAGTATAAGAAAATGCATATCTTATTATTCTTCCATCTTGCCTTCTTTTTCTATTTTGTACTAAAAAAAATTTCTTCATCCTATTAGAAATTGTTTCTATGGTATTTATTTTTTTTTCTATGTATATATAATTTATATATCATATTGTGCATACATGCGTGTTTGTGTATTTGGTGATTTTTTTTTCCGGCCCCTCCAATAATAAAATCTTGGTTTCGTCCCTGTGTAGAGTCATATTAGAAAAAAATATTCATATATAATGTAATTATTTTGTGGCTATTCCACTCATTTGTAATTTGTTTGGTGTATTGGATGAATGGGTTTTTATTTCTAATAGGTTAGGCTTATGATTCTTTTTATTATAAATACATCTTAAATACATCGTGAGGGGATATCACTTATTCAGCAATTTTTTAATATAGAAATGAGTATTATTATTATTTGGTTAAGGCTAAGGGTAAAATTCTAATAAATTGTTTGTAAATATTTTATGATTCAATCATGATTTTTATTGTTAAAATATTGTGATTGATTGGTTTAAATATTTTTGGAGAAATTTTTTGTTTTGTATAATTTTTTGTTATTCTGAACAAGATAAAAACTTAGAATTCTCTACGAATTTAAATAACTAAATTTTTATGATATAATCAATCAATCAAACTAATCCATATTTTGCGGTATTATTTTTTTGAAATAATTATTTTATCTTCTAATTGAAGACATTTTTTTGTAATTTTCAATTGAGTTATACAAGTTGAATTAGAGATGATTCATAAAGAAAACATTTGTGGTGAATCCTTGATGCTAGTTTAAATTATTGTTAGTTTAAATTATTTTCTCAAATTATTCAAACCTTTTTCAATCAGTCTTTATTCAAGTATACTGATTCTGGTGAATTCGATCTCATACTTACTTTGTGACAATCTGAACTTGGATATACACATTCAAAATCGTCACAATTACTTCTTATGAAAGACTTAATTCTAAATTGTAGGAAAAGGAAAGAAAAAAAATTAAAGTCTCGTTACTTCTATAAAGGGGTGTTGCAGATCGAGAAGCTCTCGATATTTGATCAACTTGAGTTTTGGTATGTATAATCTTTTCAAGACCTTATAAAATGAACAGTTTAAATTATTAAAACAAACTCAAAAATAGACACACAGTGGACCGAATTGGACCGTCCGATTGAAAAAAAAAAAAACTAAACTAATAAAAAATATTAAAAACTCACAATTTTAAACTTATAAATACATTTACATTTTAAACTTATAAATACATTCACATTAACATGATAAGGATATTAGACCTTATATCATGTCACATTAGACCAATTTGAGAATATAGTTAAAAACTATTTTTTAACTTTTAACTTATTTTGAGTGATATCATCTCTTAATTTTTTTACACATGTTTTCAAAAAAAATAAACAAAAAAAATAATTAATTATTAACTAATTTCTCAAAATGACCCATTATTGTCTTCATGACCTTTAATCTTGACAAATCACCTTGGATGATTGGGTTGGCTTTGGGGATTGACAAGCCAAGAGAATTAATTGAGATTCCCAAAAAGTGCCATGGCATTGGCCAAGGTGTTATGATTTGCACAAAGCCAAATTTACGGTAGAAGTGATTATGTTAGGTGACCTAACATTTTTTAGAAACTATTTAAAAAGCAATCCATTACATCATACTTTGAGTAAGATATAGGCATATTTT